ATCACTTATTCTTGGTAATTTTACAACACTCGTTATGAGAAGGACTGTAATGAATGCCCACATTTCTTTTATGGATAAATTTTTTTCCCATTGACAATCAACAGTGCCACACTTTCTTGCACAAAATTCAGCATATTTATTTGTATTTGTGAGAATTACTTCACAAATTTCATTCACTAGAAACACTTTACATATTGTAAAGGTGACGCACCAACAGGTAAATTATGAATTGGTCCCGAAAAACTGTTAAATGGGGATAAAATTACGGCATCATTATTAACATTAGTAGACCACGTTTTTACTGGATTTTCGTTACAATTTTCTGAAACATCTGCTTCCAGATTTGTTCTATGCTCATCTTCATCTTCTGCTATAAATGATTCTTCTTCATTATCATTTATTCCATTTTCTATTTCTTTCCTATTGCCATCTTCTGATTTCAAATCTGACTCATCTGTATCATTAAAAAGAATAGCCTCAATTTCTTGTTGAGTTAAAATTTTGCGATATTTGTGCATTTTGATTAAAGTTTAAAAGCCCACTCTACAAAAAATGAATCAACAGAGAAATGTCAAGAGCAACCCAAAGAGAAGAAACCTTTTAGGACAAGATACAAAGCATTTGGGAAGCTGCACCTGCTACTGCATACCTTAGGGAGAGGGAAGAAAACAAGATTGCAATCTCAGCCGTTTTTGGGCGGTTCTGGTTGTCTCAATGTAGAGCCCTGAGGGGCGGATTGGTTGCAAAAGAGTTAAGCGTTGAAAACTACTAAAAATGTTCTGAAAAACTCAAATGACAGTAGACAAAGCTTTATTAAAAGAATCCAAAAACAAAGTTTAAAAACTAAGAGACGATCTGCGCAATTGCTGCAGGTTTGAAAATAATAAAATATATATACACATACCTAGGAAAAGCTCGACTATACGAGTACATGAATATTTAATGGTTAAAACTGAAGGAGCAATTCATTTGGAAAATAAAGTCAAAAGTCGTTAATTCGGACACCCATAATCCGGACCTCAAAGCTACAAACTTTCTGCACATGCATTGCGTTGAAGCATGCGCATAGGCATTTACGCACACACGGAAGACCTTTATGGCTGCGAATATGCGTGTGCGCATGCGCATACTACGTTTACGCATGCGTGTTTAATGTATAATATAAGCTAAAATTATCTAATTTAGTTAATGTTGCAGATTGTGTTGTTCCTTAATCTTCGAATTGGATCCGGCTTATTATTTTTTGCAGACTGTTAGAGCAATTTTATAAAAGTAGCTTGAACTTTCGATTATGTCAAATAGAATTTCCGATATATATTTACTAATATGTAAAGGATCTACAAAGCAAAAGTATGTTTCGAAGTACATTAAACAAAAAGTGGAATTACTGCAAAAAATAGATAAAGGCATATCCTTTGTTTTTCAAACCATTCCGAAATCTGTTTATCAATTTCACGCTGCTGGCGCACAATGAATTGGAAGTTGATCTGTCAGCACTACCCTTATCTTCAGGGCAGATGTTTTTATTTTATTTGGCTTTTAATTCCTTACTAAATGTAGTATTTCATCTCGATGTACTCCGTTTTTGATATGATTTAAATCAAATTCCTCGTCATTATAATTCGCTTCCGATAGTGAAGAAAGTGACACAGAGGTTATTGAAAATGAAAAAATTTCGATTGACAAATTAGTCGGTATTCTTGACACGGCAATTATAGGACTTGAACAGCGAAACTTTGTAACTGAACAAGAAATTATGTCTGTTTATAGAATTAAAGAGAAAGTATTATCACATAAAACGAAACAACTTACATTGAAAGAAATGTTTAATAAAGTAAACAAATAAATATTAAGCTTTTTTTTTTTTTTTTTTTTTTTTTTTGTAAATTTTGATACGCTTTAGATCCATCTTACCAGATTTAAACTGATGATCTATAATCCGGAATCGCCGAAGTCCCGACGAGTCCGGATTAACGACTTTTGACTGTATACATTTTAAAGTTTGACAACACTGATATATTTTAATTTTGATACTCTATACCAGTGTTTCCCAACCTTTTTTGTACTATGGCCCACCTAATTCTCTATAAAATTCTTATGCTCCCCCTAGCATATACATAATTTTTAATATTTAAAAACTGAAATGTTTACAAAAACTTGAATGATAGGTTTTAGGAAGAAATATCTAAGCATTTAAATGTCCATGTCTACAGCGAAAATTCTTTATAAAATATTTAAAATGCACTGCAATTAAAAACCTTTTTTAAGTATTATTACACTTACATTATTCTTTATTTTTAGAAATAAAAAATTGAATAAAAAAAAAATTGATTTCTTTAAGGAAATTTGAACGTTTCTTGTCCCCTTAAACTCTCAATGAGTCTATTTTCAAATTGCCTCCTCTTCCCATGTTGGGAAACACTGCTCTTTACTAGATACAGCATTGTTATAGCTATTTATCACATAATACAATACAAATTATCAAGTAATTTAATAATTTCATAAAAGTTTCACATAACCAAATGTAAGAAAGCAAATTTCTCAATTTATCACAACTTCCACTAGTACTTTGTATGAAAACCTTATGCTGTATTTCAGCCAAATGATTCTTACATAGTAAAGTAATGATTTTAGTTAATCAAGTATAACAATATGACATATGACTGTACGGTTATTTGTGGTATTGCACTTTATTCTACGATAGCTTCTCATTAATAAGTCTTTTTAACTGGCTCCAAAGGTTTTCAAATAGGTTTAAATCAAGGCTATAATCTGGCAATACTAACAATACAATATTTTCCTGAAACTACTCTTTGCACTGAATATGAGCATAAAACGTACAGAGTCCTAAAATATGAAATTTTCATTATCAGAAAATATCAAGGGCTGAAGGTATTAATTTTGACTCCACTACAGCACTGATGCATTTTTTACTATTTAAAATGCTATTTATCATAGAAGTTTCAAAGCAAAAACATCTCTTAGAAAAAAAAAAAAAAAAAAAAAAAAAAATACTGTCATATCTCCAAAATTACTATCATATCTCCACAGTACAACAGCAATTAGGCGATTCATGGTAAATATTATACATTCAAGTAGCAAGTTTGGTACAATTTGTTTCATTATTTTCAAACTCAAATAATATTATAACATCCAATTGATTTGGATTTTTGAAACAATTCTTCATTGATTTGGATGATAATCAAGGCTTTTTCTTTGCAAATCTAGCACTAATTGTAAATTTGAAGCCTTTATCAAAGTCTTAGATTTTATGTTTAAACACTTTCATGTAAATCATCTTTAATGGTATCAGACCATTTTCCCCTCTGATTTGAACACAATATTTGAATTCTTCTATCATGGCATACAACTGTGGACTTTTCCTTATTTGAGTAAGCTTGTTGAAACTTATTCTGCAATTTAGAAATTTTTCCTTTGGCTATGTTTCCACCCCTTTTTCTCATAACTATTATGCAAATTTTCTCATAATTATCATTATTAAATATTACATTCTTCAAGTAAATGAATTCTCTTGCAGCTACTTCTAGGTGATTAGTAAACTTTTTTGACTTTGTTTGAAATTTTAATACATTACATATCATATTAAAACAAGATAAACCAAAAGTAACAACAAACGTAATGACAACATGCAACTATATGAGCATATAATCTTTATTACCAATTCTGGTAGCAAAGATGTGTGTTTACTTGGATTAACACCTACCCAGATTCTTTTATATAGCACTTGATCGATTTTCATTTTTAATTTTTTTCCCCCTCCTTATACTTACTTTGTTGTAAGTTGAATTAATAGTAATTTATTATAAGTAAACTCTATTATACAATTAGGTTATTTAAATATAGCAAAGCTCATGAGGGTATCTGCCCAAATAGAGGGATGCTTTCGTAAAGTACTTTCTAAATGAAACTGACTAGTATTCACATTACACATGAGTAAAACTGCAAAAAACTAACACTGCAGCCAGCTCACTCACCTGCATTTGAAAATAATGTAATTTAGCAGTCTTAACCTGGAGTGGGCACTTGGTTTAAATAAACTTCACTTATAGTCAGGTAATATTATTTTTTCAGTAATATATAACTTTACAGAATTCCATTAAAAATAATAAAGTATTGTATGATCAAACCTTAAAAAACACCCAAAAGGGTTTGCTAGTTTTAGCCATTAATGAATTTGTTGAAGACATCTAGAAATAAAATTTATTTCAATACTTTCCTGCTGTTGGGACTAGATTTAGAAATGTTTGTATGGACATACATATACACATATACATTTCTGAGTCTGTGCATGCATATATGTACACACATATAAAAACATAACCCATTTTGGAATCTAGTCCTGATAAAAGAAATTTCATACTTATCAACTACAAAAGCTACAATTTATCTAAAACTATAATATAGAAATTTTGTTAGTTAAACAGAAATACGATACGTGCAGTGGCTACAGGATTTAAAACACAAAACTGTCTCAATCATATAAAAATAATGGCTTGGCTTTTATTAACACACACAACAAATGCATTGAATGCACTAAATCTAAAGGTGGGAAATTAATAATAAAAGCATTTCAGGACAAAAATAATACACTTTAATTAAGAAAACTTATAAAAAACTACTTATTAAAAATATTCAAGGACAAAAGTAGTGATATTCCAAAGAATAAGCAAAAACACAATTTCTTAAAAAGCTTTATACATAAATAAATAACTTCTTTTTCAAAAAAAAAAAAAAAAAAAAAAAAAACTGCAGTATTTAGAGTTTTTTGCGGTTGAAAACCCAAACGTAAAAATATTTGGATGAAAATGGAAAAGTAAAAAATCAAAGTATTCAGAGTTAAAATCATTGACACTTCTATGAAAAAATATATAATACATGAATACTAGAACACTGTGCCCTAAATACAGAACTACTTAATTAAATCGGCACCAGAATATAAAGCTACACATACATATCTGATACTTTGAAAACACACTTACTTAAATAAAAAATTAAAATAAATTTATGAGAAACATAAACTTAATTTATAAAAGGAGCTACTTAAAAAAATGAATAAATAATCGTTATTTTGAAAAGTAGCTTTTGGATTTCGGTAAACTATAAAATAATCACAAAACACTCCCATATTGTCAACAACACATTGATATTTCATTTTAGTCAATGAACCAAATAAACACACGGAGCCACATTTACCGGAGCGAGATATCAAGATTGCCGATGAAACTATTTCCTGTCTTGCGGACCTGTCCTGCGCTTGCTAAAATTAATATCCTTTTCATGCGAACATTATAAAAAATTATCTTTTTAATCATTAAGTTTAATTTCAAACTGTGAAGATATTTATTATTTCTAATTACGATCTGAAGTATCCAAAATAAAATAATACTTGTAGTAGTATAGGTGGTACTCAACTTTACTCTTATAAACTCTTCTGCGAATTGATGTTTGATGTTTACTGTTTGCAATTCTCTGCTAAACGTTAGACGTCAACGCTATTGTTAGCGAGCATCATGGCAAATAAATTAAGAGGACAAGGGGTTGAAAGGGTTATGAAAAAACTTCAGGTTAACATTGAATTAGGTCAATATTATGAAGCTCATCAAATGTACAGAACTTTATATTTTAGGTAAGAAAATAAAACATGTTAAGCCTAGGTAGGTATTTTGAGCATACCGGAAGTGTAGTGCTAAAGTGGGAATATTAGTGTTTTAATGAAATGCATTTCGAAATTTTATGACTTATAGCAAATATGTAATTTATCAAGAATATTAAGATAAAAAATTTTTATTTAAGAGACACTAAAAAATCTTATTTCCTTATTTGGGTGTAGTAGGAATTGAGCTTTGTATTATACAGGCCATCAGTTCGTTATGTTTCTTAATTTATGTAGCTCATAATTTTAGAGAAACAGAAATATGTGATGTATATTATTTTTGTCTCTAATTTGATTATTTTACATGTCACTGAAAATGGTTTTTAAGACTATTTCTGGAACATGTTTAATGCATTTTTAGCGTCTAACAAGTTTAGCAAAGCTGTTTATAACTGTTAAAATTTGTGAGAGGTATGACGAAACCAACTCGGTTTCTGTGTTGTAACTATGTGTAAGCTTCTCATTCTTTAAAAAAATACACTGTAATGTTTTAAAAATAGGGAGTGATTTCCCAGGATATTCTTCTGAAAAGTCTGTAGGATCAGAGCTTTTAGATACAAGCTCCTAAAGCCTCAAATTAAAAATTCCTAATGTGTAGTTGTAGGCATTTTTTTTTTTAATCCTTGGTAAGTAAAAGGAATTTATGAATTTCATATAAAAACTATATTGAATTTGATCATTGAATACAGTTTTAACAGGATAGAGAATCCCATTAGAACTTCATAAATTAATTATTAAGTTGAGAAGATATTTTTGGTTTACTTTTATGAAATATGATTTAAAAGTAGTTACATGGCTTCTTTTATACACTCATTTAGGAATGTAAAAGATAATATTTTTAATCTTTCTTACTCTAATCTAGAATGAATTTAGAAGTTAGTGTTTACTTTGAGTGTGCTTGCAAGTTGTTATCGATGTTTACGTGTTATAATGGAAAGTATAAATTATTTCTCCTAAAATCCTTCTTAAGTAAAAATAGTGAAATGCGTTAATAGTTCAGTAAGAAAACAATATAGTTGCTTTTAAAATATTTAAAAACTAAATTCTGAAACTTTTTTTTTTACTTTGTTGGGGGTTACATGCAGTATCATAAATTTTGTTTATGCAGAAGGAACATTTAGTCATATTCTAAATGCAAGATCAAAAAGATCATTTCAAATAGTAAAATAGTTACATTTTCAATATTATATACTTTGGGATTGGAGAAGGAAGTGTAATCATTAGTGGTAAAATAAACTGATCATCAGCAATAGTATTAATGTCAAGCACTGTGTTTATCTGCCACTCTTTATTTGTAGAAATTCCATATTTATTTGTAGTACAGTCAAAAGTCGTTAATTCGGACACCCATAATCCCGGAATGATCTATAATCCGGACCTCAAAGCTACAAACTTTCTTTCAATGTAAGCGTTGACGCACGCGCAGAAGACCTTTGCGTCTGCGAATATGTGTGTGCGCAAAATACGTTTACGAATGCGCGTTTAATGTATAACGGATGGTATAAGCTAAGCTAAAATTATCTAATTATCTATTTCAGTTAATGTTGCAGATTGCGTTGTTCCTAAATCTTCGAACTGGATCCAGCTTATTATTTTTTGCAGACTGTTAGAGCAATTTTATAAAAGTAAGCTTGAACTTTCGATTATGTCAAATAGAATTTCTGATATATATTTACTAATATGTAAAGGATGCACAACGCGAAAGTATGTTTCGAAGTCGATTAAACAAAAAGTGGAATTGCTGCAAAAAATGGATAAAGGCATATCCTTTGTTTATCTAAACTTTAACGTTTGTTTATCTTTAACGTCGCGCGCGCAATGAATTGGAAGTTGATTTGTCAGCACTATCCTTATCTTCAGGGCAGATGTTTTTATTTTATTTGGCTTATAATTCCTTACTAAATGTAGTATTTCATCTCGATGTACTCCGTCTTTGATATGATTTAAATCAAGTTCCTCGTCATTATAATTCGCTTCCGATAGTGAAGAAAGTGACAGAGAGGTTATTGAAAACGAAAAAATTTCAATTGACAAATTAGTCGGCATTCTCGACACAGCAATTATAGGACCTGAACAGCGGAACTTTGTAACTGAACAAGAAATTATGTCTGTTTATAGAATTAAATAGGTATTATCACATAAAAAATGAAGCAACTTAAACAACTGACATAGAAAGAAATGTTTAATAAAATAAATAAATATTAAGCTTTTTTCTAAATTTTGATACCCTTTAGATCATAATTGTTCTTTATTTCATAAATTACGGTACGGTTTCATATTTTTAATTTTATAATTTCTGCATGCCGTCTTACCAGATTTAAACTGATGATCTGTAATCCGGAAAAATCGATAATCCGGAATCGCCGAAGTCCCGACGAGTCCGTATTAACGACTTTTGACTGTATATGTTAATTCGGAGTAATTTTCTTTTTTCCCTCCTCAGGTACCTGTCACAGAAGAAATATGAAGAACTAATGACATTATTATACGATGGTTCTGTTCTGTTCCTTTCTCATAATCAGGTAGTAAGAAAAAAAAAAATTCCTCAAATTTTTTTTTGTTTTGTTTAGCTATAGTTTAGTAATTAAAATAGGTAAATGAACTTTTATTTTTTAGCTTATGTTTCTGTTGCCAAATCAAACATTAGCCCACCCCATAAAATAAAAAAAAGGGAGAGGGCTGATGCAATAATATATTAAGTAATCTTAGATTTAATACAGGAATTGGAATTTTTCTAGTTTGCTTTTTTAATAAATATGCTTGATTCAATTGGTTTTTTTTACCTAAATCTATCTTTATTTTGAAAAGATGGAAGGGAGAGCTATTGGAATTTTATCATTATCATAGCATATAAACTTCCATATAAGGATATTTTATCATTAAATATATGTCTTTATGGATTGTAATTTGTTATTTAAAAAAGTTTAATAACTGTATTCAGGGCCAGTTTGACAGTTAAAGTGTATTACACTGACTCAGGGTCAATGAAGCTAACATTATTAAACATTTTTAGTTTAATTAAACAAATTAAAATTTTTATTAACCATTTCATATTCTGTGTATGAAAGCTGTATGTGCTTTTTTAAAATCAGTATGCTATAGACAGATTGTAAGAGATAGATTTAAATTTGCTTATTTAAACGAAGAGGAGTTATTAATAACATGTACTTTCCTTACCCATCGCCTATTTGACTACTAAAAACATTTGTGAGCACAGAATAAAAACAGTGAAATTGTAAAAGTCTGGAAATAGAAAGTAAAATATGTCAAAAAAAAGTCATATATTATGTGCAAATATTGGGCAACATAGTTCTTTTCCAGTTTGACCAATTTCATGTATTATGCAAAAACTACATCCCCCCCTTTTTTTGGTCATTTGTCATTTCCCTGTTGTCACACAAAGGAGGCAGTCAATCAAAATCTTTTTTTAGGCTTACAGAGTTTTACAGAGATAACTATTGCTTATCTGATTTTCATCCCACTCAATCTTAAAAAGAAGGATATTTGAAGAAATAAGGGATAATCAAAGTCTCATAAAAGAAATATAGTTCTAAAGGCATGCTGTTGCAATGCTTTTTTGCTGGTAACATCATCTCAGGAAGGCATAAAAATGTTAAACCAAAGAGTTTCTTTGGGTATTTATGTATTGCTTGCTAACAAGTTTTATATAATGAACATATTCATCGTATTTTGACCTTTTTGTCTGTGCAGTCTTTAAATCTCAATGTGTAGTGCATTTTTTAAAGCTTGCTGTAAACATTAATATGCTGTATGTAATGCATTTTTGAGTTTGATAAGCATTTCACAATTCAAAAGGATTTAATTATTTATTTGTTCAAAATGATGATTTGATGTTGTTAAGAGGCTCATCATAATTCTTTTAAAATTTCATAATAATAAATTTTTCTGTCTTTTGAATTTCAGTTAATAGATATAGCCCAGGGATGTCTAACCTTTAGCATACCATGCACCTATTTTTTGACAGACAAGTTCAGATGTGGCGTATAACTTGAGCACTTTTATAATGTCTTAAGATTCATTGTTAATAGACAAGTGTAATTAACTTTTTAAAATGATATAATTATTTTAGTATACTACAGCACATAAAAATTGCTTGAAATTGATGAATTTTTTTAGCCTGCTTGGGTTTCGCTAATCTTTTAATGGTGTTAAATTTGTTACTGAGAGCAACAGAGAGTTCTTCTAATCTTTGGAATATGGTAACAGGTAGTTTGGCTACATTTTGGTAAGGCGATAAAGGTTACTAGCTAGGACTTTAGCAGTGTACATGGATAAAGTCAAGAGTGGGCGCAATGCCATTTTTGTGCACTTCTGGGATGGTTTTTTAAGTCAAAATAGGTTGACGTGTACATGGATACTGTGTATGTGCAATTCTTAAAAACGCGGCAAGCAGTTTGCGATTCTGCACTTTCTCCCAATTTCGCACCTAATCTTCGTCATGATTAAGCACTTTTGTTCCATAAAAGTTCTAGCATAAGCGTAATTTGGCTAGCAGATTGTTGGAAAAAAATGTTGAGTTAAAAAAAAAAAAAATTGCCTTGACTTCGGGAAAACAAAATGGCGTCCAAACAAAAACTAGCAGGTTTCTGTAGCAGGGTTGGTCGCCAAATTTTTGCCAAAAAATCGCAAAGTTACCATAATCCAAAGATTAGCTGAGAGTTCTTCAGATTTGAACCTTTTAGTCAATTTCATTGGTGAAAATGCTTGTTCACATCTGTATGTCATTCCAATATAATATGCTTGTTCCATTTGTTGTCTTCATGTTTTTTGTTTTTTTTTTTTTTTTTTTTTTTGTGAATTTTCTAGTTGTGGGAAATGTTTACATGGTAATGAACTCCAAAAAGGAATAATTACATTAGAAACATTTTTAATCTGGAAAAAGCTCATCAAATTTCATTTTTAAGAATAAATTTGTTTTTAAATCGATCTGAAATTTATGTGTATGTTATGAGACATCTGCATTATGTTTTGTTCACTAAGTGAAAATGATAGCTTTCTGCTTTCGCAAAATAATGAAAATGACTTCCAAATGACACTTGCAATCTCTTTTTTTTTTTTTCTTTTCAGTATATTTGATCAAGTTGCCATTATTCTCAGCATATTTGCTCTGTTCTTTGAAGCCTGAAAATTGATTCAAATCCTCATTTTTTAACTGAAAGATGAACAGTATTAATTTAATTTCAAATGAACTGATGCTTTTTACTAAGCTAGGAAGTAGTTTATTCTTGCCTTGGTGTTTTAAATTTAGTCCATTGAGATAGATGTCTAGTAAAATGCCAAATCAAGTAGGTACTTGTCAAATAATAGGGTTTTTCATCAGGTTTTTTTTTTTTTTTTTTTTTTTTTTTTTTTTTTTGTGTTGTGTGTGTGTGTGTGTGTGTGTGTTCTAAGAAATTAGAAATCTAAAGTCAAAAATGAGTCAAAAATTTAAATTCATCAGATGATTTTGAGAACAAAATCTATTGCTATGAATTATTCCAGTTGTCCTGAAAGAATCTTATGGCAGCCGCCTTCATCATTAGGTAGTTGCCAAAATGTGTAATCCATCATACTAAAAAATTGGCAAAATGTGGCCAAAAAATAACGAGTGATGACAAAGGAGGCAGTCAATCAAAATCTTTTTGTTTAGGCTTACAGAGAGAAGTACAGAGTTTTACAGAGATAACTACTGCTTATCTGATTTTCATCCCAGTCAATCTTAAAAAGAAGGATATTTGAAGAAATAAGTAATGATCAAGGTCTCAGAAAAGAAATATAGTTCTAAGTTATTTCAATGTTATAGTTATGTTCTAAGTTATAGTTCTAAGTTACTTTAAATGAAAACTAGAAATCTCAAGCCACAATATTTCAAATGTTAAATTCTGGAGCTGCAATATTTGGGGTGGTCGTTGGTGCATTTTTAATTGAAGCCGCTCTAATAGAATTGTACCCCAAAATGTAATTGAAAATGTTTAGTTTAAATTTATTCTCCTCTATTATTAAGGGTTCATCAACATCTTCTTCGTAGTCAAATTGGCCCTTTTTTCTTTTGGTCGAAGCTTCAATTTTGGCAGGAAATTCTGTATTCAAGATTCTCTGGAATCTTATTAGCAGCAGTTTTCATTTGATCACATGCAGATTGTCTAACACCCTTACACAATTTAACAGATTTATAGTTAAAAGTTGCAATCGCTTTGAGACTGACTTTATTTCAAATAAAATATCATGCCAAAGAATCATACTGTACGTGTACACTTGTAATTTTTAATATTTTTTGCTGACCCCTTTAGTAGTAGTAGTAGTTTTTTTTTTTTTTTTTTAAATCTCTGTTAACATTTTCTATTATTTGGTATGATGCCTATAAGTGAAACTGCAAAGATTTAAATGTACAGTCAAAAGTCTTTAATCAGGACTTGTCGGGACTTCGGCGATTCTGGATTATCGGTTTTTCCGGATTATAGATCATCAATTTAAATCTGGTAATATGACATGCAGAAATTATAAAATTAAAAATATGAAACCGTAATTTATGAACTAAAAAGCAATTATGATCTAAAGGGTATCAAAATAAAAAAAAAGCTTAATATCTAGTTGTTTACTTTATTAAACATTTCTTTCAACGCGCGCATGCGTAAAGCACACATTACGCATAGTCGAAATTAGAAAATTGCAACCAGAAAACTATTTGATGTGTATTCGTGATATTTATAATGACGAGGAATTTGATTTAAATCATATCAAAGACGAAGTACATCGAGATGAAATACTACATTTAGTAAGAAATTATAAACCGAATAAAATAAAAACATCTACCCTGAAGATAAGGATAGTGCTGACAGATCAACTTTCAGTTCATTGCGTGCCTCGACGCCCCCCCTTCCCCCCTCGGCAGAGCAGTGTGAAATTGATAAACAGATTTCAGAATCGTTAGAGTAACAAAGGCTATGCCTTTATGCATTTTTTTGCAGCAATTCCACTTTTTGTTTGATGGACATCGAAACATGCTTTCGCTTTGTAGATCCTTTGGCAGCTCCAGAATCGGAAATTCTTTTTGACATAATCGAAAGTTCAAGCATACTATTATAAAATTGCTCTAACAGTCTGCAAAAAGTAATAAGCTGGATCCAATTTGAAGATTAAGGGCAACGCAATCTGCAACATTAACTGAAATAGATAATTAGATAATTTTAGCTTACCTTATACTGTTCGTTATACACTAAACGCTCATGCGTGAAGGTATTACGTGCATGCGTAAACACATTATTTGTTTACACATGCGCAGGAAGTTTGTAGCTTTGAGGTCTGTATTATAAATCATTCCGGATTAAAGACTTTTGACTTTATCTGCTTTGCTCAATTACCTGATAGCACTCGGTGATTTTTAAGTTAACTGTGAAACATATTTTTCAGTTTTATGAAAAGCTTTGTACTACCAGACACAATATATAAAGCTTTGTACAGCAGAAAAAATTTTTCTTTCTGTAAAAGGTAATGATGCATTATTCACAACTAGGTTTAAAGA